CCGACGCAGCTGGAAGCAAATTCACACACACACACACACACACACACACACACACCTTCACAAAAAGAAAGGGAGACACTACGAAGAAGAAAATTGACTTTTGGCCAATGTGTTAACGATTATTTCCTACGCCAAAGAAATAGTCCCGTCGTTGTTTTGTTTTCTGGCCAAGGAACAAGAAAACGAAGAAAAAGAAACCCGGAAATAAAGTTCTCTGCTGATGAAACAAGCATAAGACTTTTTTTTTTCTTTTTGGTTTTAAGAATTCAAGTAAGTAGGGGCCAAAATATATACCATCTTAGATTGTAGGAATATGTTTTTGTCTATGTTAAGAGTGTGAAACGTTATGGTCTGGAATATAAAGGCAGATAAGGAATAGATAGATAGATAAAGTTTGATGGATAGATAATAAAGTTTGATAGATAAAGTTCGATGGATCGATAATAAAGTTTGATAGATAATAAAGTTTGATGGATAGATAATGAAGTTTGATAGATAGATAGATAATAAACTTTGATGGATAGATAATGAAGTTTGATAGATGGATAGATAATGAAGTTTGATAGACAGATAATAAAGTTAGATAGATAGATAATGAAGATAGATAATATAGATAGAGAGATAATGAAGGTAGATAAATAGATAATGAAGATAGATATAGTGAGAGATAGATAATGAATACAGCTAATGAAGTTAGAGATATAGATAGATAGATAGACAATGAAGATGGATAATGAAGCTGGATAGATTGATAGATCATCAAGATAGATATATAATGAAGATAGATAGATAGAGAGATAGGTGATGGATAGCAATAGATAGATATGAATACACATGAAAGATATTGGCTTGTTCTCCGCCCGATTTTCTTACCAAATTTAACCAAATATCGTGGATACTTTCTTTCTTTCTCGGGTCGACAACTTTTTTTTTCCTCGTCTTTATTTCTTTCTAATAATCCTGTCGCTTATATTGTTTTTCTGGCCAAGGAACAAGAAAACGAAGAAAAAGAAACCCGGAAATAAAGTGCCCTGCTGATGAAACAAGCATAAGATTTCTTTTTCTTTTTAAAAGAAATTCTTGGGTCTACAGTAAGTGCGGCCAGAAATATATACCACCAGGGATTGTAAGAATATGATTTTTGTCTATGTTAGGTGTGTGGGGTGCGAGGGTCGTGAATATAAGAGACATAAGGGAAGACAGGAAGAAAAAAAAAATAAGATAAATATAAAATGGCCGGTTACTTGTTACCGAGCACGCTCGTTTGCTAGGGCGGCAAACCAAACCTTTTAGGCGACACTTGCTCAGGCCACCTATGGTTTACCCTGCAACTCTGCTGAGAGGACCTTACTTACAGTTTTTGAGAGGGACTGCATATGACGTGGTCCACAGCACGCTCAAATCTCGGTCACAATGACTTGTGACTTCGTGTTAACAATCATCGAGGACTTTCGAACAGTTCCACCTATCCAATTTCACTGTCAAGACTTTGGCCAAAACGTAGGATAGATAGATAATGAAGATAGATAGATAGACAGATAATGAACATATTGGGTTAGATATAGGAAGAGATTGGAATAGATAGATAGATATGAACAGACTGAGATAGATAGATAGATAGATAGATATGAACAGACTGAGATAGATAGATAGATATGAACAGACTGAGATAGATAGATAGATATGAACAGACTGAGATAGATAGATAGATAGATATGAACAGACTGAGATAGATAGATAGATAGATAGATATGAACAGACTGAGATAGATAGATAGATAGATAGATATGAACAGACTGAGATAGATAGATAGATAGATAGATATGAACAGACTGAGATAGATAGATAGATAGATATGAACAGACTGAGATAGATAGATAGATAGATAGATAGATATGAACAGACTGAGATAGATAGATAGATAGATATGAACAGACTGAGATAGATAGATAGATAGATATGAACAGACTGAGATAGATAGATAGATATGAACAGACTGAGATAGATAGATAGATATGAACAGACTGAGATAGATAGATAGATAGATAGATAGATAGATATGAACAGACTGAGATAGATAGATAGATAGATAGATAGATAGATATGAACAGACTGAGATAGATAGATAGATATGAACAGACTGAGATAGATAGATAGATATGAACAGACTGAGATAGATAGATAGATAGATAGATAGATATGAACAGACTGAGATAGATAGATAGATAGATAGATAGATATGAACAGACTGAGATAGATAGATAGATAGATATGAACAGATTAAGATAGATAGATCATTGCTTCTTGCTAGTGAAGAAGGGAAATAAAACTTTACATTTTGAAAATTCTTTATTATTCTATCGTCCGGTTCACACACCTCCCCGGTCCTTTTGGACAGGTGTAGAGGTTCATCCCTTGTTTCCTGTTTAGGATTAGGTTTCCGGTCTCGTCTAAAGTCTACTTCAACTCTATACTCCCAACGTCTCCACCTGAACTCTGAAATTTTATTTGTTAATTAAATCTAGATCTCTTCAAGTCTAGAACGAGCTCTCTTTGCTTGGTATCTTGCCTTTCTGCTTCACTTTCCTCAGCTTTGTTACAGCGATTCATGGGGTCTGGTATAAAGATCCTAGTATAGCACCCTAATAATGTCTTAGATTATTATAGGACCAAACCAAGACCAAATGCATTTTTAGAATCATTCTAGTCGTTTTAATTAGCTTGAAATGTCCGCTTATGAAGAAGGAAATAAAACACTACATTTTGAAATCTAATGTTCCATCTTTTAATGGAAATTCTTTCCACTTACCTCAGAATCCTAGAGTCAAACATGGAGTCAGTATGGCAGCCCATCGATCCCGGAAATCAGTGGACTAACCAAAGATCAATATCAAACTGAACCCTTTGGCACAGAGGATAAAGGCGTTAGTTAGATCTAATGACAGTACCCAAAGTGTGTGAGTTCAATACCTGGCTAAGGCGGTGTGATAAATATGGCGACAAAGATGAGGACAATAGTCCGAATAATGTAAATAGTGTACATAATACCTCATCTCAGAAATATAAACAGATCCTGAAAGGCCGAAACGTTGTAATAAATATAGCGACAAAGATGAGGACAATAGTCCGAATAATGTAAATAGTGTACATAATACCTCATCTCAGAAATATAGACAGATACTGAATAATTAAATAATAATAATTCTGTTCATGTCACCGTCTCCGTCGAATGTCTTCAAAAAGATTTTGCCGGATCTTTTTTTTTTTTTTAATTTACCCCAAATAATGTTAAGTTACTTATCGCAAATAAGAAATTATAAATTTTAAATCAAAGTTTGTTTTTTGTTTGTTTTTTTTTTTTTTGGAGGGGGGTATTAAATTTTTGGCACTTAAATTTGTTTAGCTTGCCTCGCAACAACTCCATCCCGGAGAATGAAAAATTAAAAAATGCAGGGAGTTCTTCATATTTCGCAAGTGAAGATGCTATTCCAGGCTCTTGGAAGGAATTTGTTACAACTTGGAAAAAAGAAAAAAAAATAGTTTTTGGCTTATTTATTGTGGTGAGCGCGGCATAGACCCCACACTTAGAAATAGCAGGACTCGAGTCGGCCACATTTGGAACAATCGCAAACGTCAACCCAAATGAAGTGCAATGGAAGGGCCTCGCTCTGGGAGAATTTGGTACGAACTTTCAATTATTTTTATTGGTGGGTGTGGGAATTAACAGAAAAAAAATCCATTTTGCCTTTTCGATATCATTTCATATTTATTTGTATCTGAAGAGGAAACAGTATACGGACATTTTGCAATCTCATTTTTGATCGAAATCTGATCCATTTGATTCTGTGCTACGACCACCACCACCCCCAACACACACACCTTGAACGCGTTTGCGGGTATCGAACTGACTGCAAGGCGCAATGCTATGTCAGACTCGGGGATGGGGGCGTGGGGACCTACTGCTCTACATCAGGCGCCAATGCTCACCTCATTTGAGCGATTTTATGACTGCACTTCCAACCTTTCCATAAAAAGGCAGATATTCTTTTCGCAGTAAAAGTCAATTAAACATATTTCCGACGGGTGTGCGAGCTAAATTGATAGCGGGTGGGTGGGGTTTTTTTTTGCTGGGGCTGGTACATAACACCTCCAACCCCATCGCCTCCTCGGGCGTCTTTAATGTCTATGTGAATACGGACTGACTCACAGAGATTGATGCAGAGATAGGTTTTCACCCCTCTCTACCACCCCGAAGTCCTCTCACATCCACCCACACACACACACATAAGGAAAAAAAAAGTTACATGTAAAAATTTAAGGAAAAATTCATTTCGAATTGTGAGGGAAACATTCGTGTTCTTTTAAAATCTAAAAGTACCATAAAATATTTGCATATCTCAACAGATGGTAGAATAATAATTTATATCGTATATACACACGTATCATGCGACCCCCAAATTTTCACTTATAAAAAATATTTTATCATATATCTTGTGCATCATGAGAGTTCCTTTTTCGAGAGACCAAATTACTATATAGACTGACCTCTTTCACTCTATCTCTTTATCCTATCTTCTAATTAAATAAATTTAAAAAAGTAAAAGACAATGATAAAAGTATTGTTACTAAGTCTATACCCGTTGCGTAAAAACGCGTACAGCCATAAACAATCAAACGAGAAACAGGTCATCTTATAAACGTATAAACGCATATTCGCTGTGTTTGTATTTTATACGATATTAATATGTGAATATTAAATGCATTATTATTGGATAAGTAAAACATCGGTCTTATCAAAATCCTGTTTATTTTAAATACAGCTGTATGTATTGACTACAGTAAATGGATATATAGTTTAGTCAACGGCGTAGCCAAGGCCAGCAGTACATACGCTAATTTTATCTCTCGTGTATGATGCGACCCTCTTAAAATTAGCTTCAAAATTAGGTCTTCAAAAGTCGCCTAATACGCGAGTATATATAGTATTTAACTCTACCGATATGTCCATCTATCTATCTTTGTCTATTCAGATCTATCTCTATTCAGATCTATCTCTATTCAGATCGATCTATCTATCTCTATTCAGATTTATCTATCTCTATTCAGATCTATCTATCTATCTCTGTCTCTTCAGTATCTATCTATCTCTGTCTCTTCAGTATCTATCTATCTATCTTTGTCTGTTCATATCTATCTATCTATCTTTGTTCAGATATATCTATCCATCTATCTTTGTCTATTGTTATAGTGGAACACACCTCTTCTATAGTTAATAGACTCTCCCACCTATAATAAGTAGGAGTAGTAAGAGTAACGAGTCAGTCGGTAAGTGAGTCTATGCCGGACGACAGTTAGTCGGATACTAAAGTATCAGCGACCACAACTAGATTACTCTGCGTCATTACCTATTATATCAAGTTCCTCACGTTTTGTACGTCGAACCTATTTTAGGACCGACTTAGTACAAATACAAGCCTCCACTGTGAAAGCACTCCACAGCATCTATTCAGATCTATCTATTTAATATATGTCTGTTCAGAAGTATCTATCTCGGCCTGTTCATCTATCTATCTATCCTGGTGTAACGCGCGATGTTCTTTTTAAATAAAGCTGTACTTATTGGCTACAGTCAATGAATATATAGTTTGGTCAATGGCGTAGCCAAGGCCAAAAGTACACACGCTAATTTTATATCGCGCGTATGATGCGACCCTCTTAAAATTAACTTCAAAATTAGGTCTTCAAAAATCGCATGATACGCGAGCATACACGGTATATATTTTTATAATTTTACAGTATGTGTGTGAAGGGGTGCTGAAAAGTCCCCCCCCCCGCATCCTAAAATATGAACAAATGTTGGTAAATGCTCACCTGTCGTTAGGCACATTTTTTTTAGTCGGACTTCTAGATCTAGGCCGGTAGACATTATTTAAGGAAATAGAAAACAGAGGGTTGCCAACTCAAACATATGCAACCACAAAAATAACGTTTATAGAAATAAGAAAAAAAATATACACGTAATCTCTGTGATTTTGATCTTTGTTTTCAATTGTTGTCCGATTTCAAATATTTTCACAAATACTTATATATTTATGCTTGTTTTTTCTGAGTGTTAAAATGCTTACAAAAGTGATGTCTTTTTTCCGACGTCATATCGACTCGATATCTTGTCAACCATTCCACGATTCTAAATTACCATGAATCATTATTTCACTGCCAGAGTTAAAAAAAAGACAAAAAATTTAATTCTCTTTTGGGATATCTCCTCAGATGATTCTAACGGTTATAGATAGATAGATAGATAGATAGATAGAAACAGTCTAGGATAGATAAATCGGACTAGCATAGATAATGCACACTTCCATCCATTATCGTTATGTTGACCCAAGAGCTTTTTTTTTGTCCTGATGCTTATGTCTCTTCAGAGACTTTTATCCAACCAATGCCTTTAAATCAAGTCCGCAAATTGAACATAAAAGAAGACTGTTATAAAAAGAGGTTGGTAGGTTACACTGAGCCTTTGTCTTGCCTCTCAGTTCTTTAAGTTCAACCTGACAAATGGCAAGTTTAGTTACATCCAATCCATTTTTCCGAATGTCTGAGAAATCTTCGTTGTTTTCTTTCAGCTTGTCTTTGAACTTCTGTCGCGGTTTCCTATGTTTCTCTTGAATTTGAACCTCATCCATTGTCTTCATCCGTTGCTTTTTCCATCGTGGAGCTGGCTATACAGGAGGACTTTTATAATTCAATTGTCACTCATTCTGATGACATCACAATTCTACTTTAATTGAGATTGAAAGAGAAAAGATTCAATGCCAACAATTTTACATTTAAGGAATAGATAAATTTACGAAATTCTCTGGTCTAAAGTGTATCCACAAATGGTCCGAACACATCACTTATATATATATATATATATATATATATATATATATATGAGAGAGAGAGAGAGAACAAAAAATCTTTCAAGCACATATTACACAAAAACTACGCTACGTACACAAGTTTAACCACAAAAAATTTCATGTAATCGACCAACTTCAGTATTTTATCAGCGATAATCCGTAATTTCATGTTTGCAGATAATCGATTTCATGTTGGGGATGAACTTGAGGTTCACTCAGTCAGTCTATATATATATATATATATATAAAAGGGAGAGGTTATAGTAGTTCCAACGAGAGAAAAGTGTGTATATTAAAAAGAAGAGAAACCGCAAAGGTTTTGGTTGTAAGGTCGATTTTTTTAAAATATATTTATGCCTTATTTTCCAGAATTTTGCTACACGTGTTTCCGGTCTCGTGACCTTCATCAGGCAAAGAGTGGATATTTCCACATGTTATTAAAAGGAATTAATTTTTCGATGTTAAATATTCTCGATATTAGACATTCTCTTTTTTGTGCGTTAGTGACCCAAATGTCTTCCTTGAACTGGCAGTGAAAAAGTTCTGCGTGAAGGGTAATAAAACAATTAAGACTTGTCTGAGAAATGGTGAGAAAGATATCGGTATTGCTATCTTTTAATGACCCCTGTGTGTTCTTAGATCTATTTGCATCTTATTGAGATTTAAAAACAACATACAACCTCTTTTCACGAGAAAAGAAAAGAAAAAACGTAAGAAAGAAAAACACAAGATACACCCTCTTTTCTTCCGAGAAAAGGAAGAATAAATAATAAGAGTAAGAAATAAGAGGGAGGAGATAGCAGCTGGATTTGTTTTGTTTATATTTAAATTCACCAATCAAAATGGCGTTCAAAGTAAGGAGAGAAAAAGAAGTTAAGAAGCAATCATAAGTAAGAGGTCATGACCCACAGATACCCTTCTCTTTTTCTTTTCCTTTTTCCTTCTCTTTTTCTTTTTCCTTCTCTTTTTCTTTTCCCTTCTCTTTTTCTTTTCCCTTCTCATTCTTTTTTTCTTTTTCCTTCTCATTCTCTTTTTCCTTTTCCTTCTCTTTTCCTTTTCCTTTTTCCTTCTCACTCTCTTTTTCTTCTCCCTTCTCATTCACTTTTTCTTTTTCCTTCTCATTCTCTTTTTCCTTCTCTTTCCTCACTTCATTTTCCTCCTATCTTTCTTTTCAATTCTTCCCTTTCCTTGTCTTCTCCGTGTCGCCTATTTTTTTTCTCTTCTTTTCCTTTTGTGTGTGTATGTGTCTCCGTGCGTGATTAAAACTCTCTCTCTCTCTCTCTCTCTCTCTCTCTCTCTCTCTCTCTCTCTCTCTGTTAAACGGCACTATTGTCACAATCGTCGGGGAGATTCGTACTCACGTCTCAGGTAACTTTCTTGTCATTTTTATAGAATAGGCACCCTCGTGTTTTTCTTGGCCATCCATGACACAAATTTAGTAAAAGTGATTTTTTTTTCCTACGAAGAACGGTTACATAGAAACTCTACAGTAGCAGCGTATAGGCGCCAACCGTAGCACTGTTATAAGCAAGTTCGTCTCACGGACCAATTTGTTTGGCCTCTGATTTGGATTTTCTCAGTTTCCTCCGCAAATGTAGCCTTGAGCCACACAAATTTAAACTTAGTAATACATCTAGCATTGGTTCATAAATGTAACTTGCTGAACCTCAATCAACATGTAAGAGACCAATATGCAAGGGTAGTCGAAAAGATTGTGTCGTGGTAATCTCGCACTTGTTGCCAGTGGAACTCGTTTCCAGCTTCTGATACCTAAGATCTACAAAGATCTATGTGCAACATAAATCTCCATCTTCTATCTTTCTGTCATCCAGGGTAAGACGATAAACTACATCTGCGTCCTGGGTAAGACGATAAACTAAGTCCAACAGCAAGGCCTCTGACCAAGAGGTTTTGAGGAGCGTGGAACCACCTCTTAATTGCTGGTGTTCGCAGGTCCACTATGACCCAGGTTGCTATCACCTGTTACGGTCCCAACTATGGGCAAATAGTTAACCCCTAAAGTGGGGTCAAAACACTATGAAAGTGTAAAAATAGGTTTTAATACCATAAATACTTTGTAAAAAATTATTACCAGCAATAAATTTTTTAAGGATAAATTATTACAAGCAATACATTTTTGAAGAAAAAAAAAAGTATTACCAGCACTAAAAATCTCATCGGCATTGAAAAGCCCATTGAGGTTGATATGCCGTAAAACAAATCAAACCAAATTATTTTTCTGAATCCTGTTCTTTTATTGTCCTTTCTTTTCAGTTTCTCATTTTCTTTCACCATCAGAAACTTCAAGCGATTGAGGGCCCAGGTGGTTAGGGTTAGTGACCCTCGCTATCTTATCAACATTTGCTTTTTTCTACCTTAAACTAAGTACGATTAACTATTAAAGGATGGAAAATTTTCGCCGATTTTGACGTCATTCCGGGGTCTTTTTTTTCCATCCAAATCAATTTACTATTTTTTTTTTTTATCGATAATGTTGAATGTGTTAAAATTCAACTTTTGAACAAGAAAAATCTGAAGTTGATGTTAAAATTTGGCGCAAAACATTACTGATTTATTTAAGATGGTTTGGTTTGGTTTATTTTGTTTTACGGCATATCAACCACAATGGGTTATTTAATGCCGACAAAATTTCCTTCTTTTTTTTCTTTTTTCAAAAAATGTATAACAGGTAATATTTTTTTTTTTAAATATATAGTTTGGTTTGTTTTATTTTGTGGCCTATTAACCTCAGTGGATTATTTAATGCTGACAAGATTTTTATTTCTGGTAATATTTTCTTTTTTCAAATATTTATTGCTGATACTAATTTTTTAAAAGTATTTCTGGTATTAAAATCTATATTTACACTTTCATAGTGTTTTGAGTCAGGTTGTGGAATCAACTATTTGCCCATAGCTTGGACCCTAACAGGTGCTACCACTCCGGATTAGGGTAGACCTGGGAACACTCGCAATTAAGAGGTGGTTCCAAGCTCCTCAAAACCTCCTGATCAGAGGCCTTGCTGCTAGACGTAGTTTATCGTCTTACCTAGGACGCGGATGTCGTTTATCGTCATACCCAGGACGGTTATTTAAGATGGATGATACATTATGACATGTCTCTAATTTGTATTTAGATGGATTGGATTTATTTTCAATTTTTATGGTTGAATTGTTCCCCTATATTGCATATGATTACGTTAAAATATAATTTGTATATTATAAAAATACTACCTCATAAAAATTGAAATGTAGTAGAGGAAAGGGATCCTGTATCATAGATTCGGTGGGGGGTCGTATCATAGATTCTGGGGGTACAAGACTATGCACTAGCCCTGGTTTTAGTGATACTAGGCTAAAAAACCATGAGGTGAAAGGATTTCTTTAATCTACTAAAGAACTCGCTCATTCAGCATTCATATTTAATAAGTTCAAGTTTTTATCTCGAATGCCAATCAGTAGCAGTTGAATACGTATGTCTAATTAATGTGTAGAAATCCTTCTACTCGGTTTTTCGTTGAATTTTAAAATTTGGAGTTTCAGGATTCGATACATTAACAAAATATCGTTACAGGGTCGCTCGTAATTTAACCGTCTAGAATAATCACACGATTTTCATTGAAAGAATAAAATTCAGTAGAAAAAGACAACGTAGTTTCAACAAATAATCATTAATTTAATTAACGACAAGAATATGATAGATTGGAAAGTAATGTATTTTTGTTTGGGTTGATAAAGTTCTGAAATAAAATATAAACTGTCATTGTGTACGTATGTGAGAAAGATTAGAATGTTGTGATATGTGTGTTTGTATGAAAAAGTCAACATGTGTGTGTGTGTGTGATTCATAGTAAAGCGGATACAAGAGATAGTTAGAAAGTGTTTCTTACTGTTGGCGGTGTTGCCGTAGTCTGGAGTTTGTCAACACTGTCGCTTTTAGCATGAGGCCGTGAAGATCATAAGCGAGAGTTGCGTGGAGTTTGGTGACAGTTGTGTGTATCCCTGTTTGGGAACGGATTTCGGATGTTTTTAATACACTTTTTCGTAACAAAATCGGCTCCAGAATTAAATTATTTATTTATTCCTAATTGGCCCTAAAAGGACACGTGGTATGTCTTCTACTACGTCCGTACGATATTTGGTCGGTATCTACCTAAAAATAATGATGACTAATACAACAAACATTCTGATTTGTATTCTATGATTTTATTGGTGTCTTTTAAGATGTAAGAGTTTTTCTTCAGTGTGATTGGTTTATAAATATTGTAGTTGATATTTTAGTGGACACGACAAATGCATCTAAAAAGCATACGGTCATCTGCATCTGTCTTGTCGCTAGGATAGTTGCATACATTCAACCGGTGCCAGACGTTACTGTTCGAGCCCAAATGAAGGCCAGGTTTTGATGTGGCTGAGTTGAAATTGTTGTACATTTCCGTAAAGGCCGGTGTTCAAGCTTCGTTAAAATATAAAAATTAAGAAAGAAAATTAAAAAAAAAAAACAAAAAAACGCCAGAATTTCGAATATTGACTACAAAAGCCGTCGGACCGTAGAAAATTGGCGCAACACAGTCTTTCTATCGACATCACTAAAGTTTGACCCTTGTGGCGTAAGTTAAGCTACGTCAATATCATGCTTTACTGTTGTTTTGCCTCAAATGCGTGTACGTAATAAGATTAAGAAAGTGGGGACATACGCCTCCCCCCCCCAACCATCACCTTTATCCCCAACCTCACCATTCTGCTTGCTTACTGTTTCTTTTTTTTTTTTTTTCATTCATTCATTACCCACCTTCTTTAGTTGTCTGTACTTAACAATAGTCCAGTCAGCTAAAGGCAGTTAAAAGTCCGACAAAAAAAAAAAAAAAAAAAACACTAGCCCTGTTCCTACATTCGCACACACCCTCACACGACGCCATCAGTTCGGCGACCGACAAAACAGTATTAAACTAACCAGGCAGTCACCAAAAAAAAAAAAAGGTAGACACGGTGAAACCCGGCGACAGCGAATCAAGCAGTTGTCTCTCTTTTTCTCACTCTTCCCCCAAAACCTACCGTACTGACCCAGCTACCTAGCGTATCTAAATCCCACCTTTTTCTTCTTGTATATCCACGGTGGATAGCTTCGTAGATTTCAATTCTAACAACCAGCTGTAACCGTAGTTAAGAGAAAGCTTTCTTTTTTCCTTGTCTCGAACTCGACTTGATGAGTGTCACTCACGCACTGACTATACAACAGTCAGACGATCAAATCACTCACTATGCAAGGAAGAAGTGTTTATTTTTAAAGGGCTGGAACAGATCATAAAACTAAGCCTAAATGTTACTTCCAAAAGAAAGATCCTTTATTTCTCTTGTAAACTGTGATGAACACTCTGTCGCAGAGAAGCGACCATTGTTATCAAATCATTGGTTTCTGTTCAGCTGGCTTGAATGTTTTTTTATACACTGGACACTTTATTTTGACACAAATACGAATGGATTTAAACAATAACATTGTCTCAAGTCTCAGACGCACAACATGTGCCAGTTGTGCCTTTGCAAAGACCGGCTTCGTATGTTAAGGTACGTAAAACAAAAATAATGTCTTTTTCCAGTCAGACTTCCACACACGCGGGGAGTGGGTACACATGAACCCCGCAAAAAAGTGAAAATATATAGATATATTTTTATTATTTTAAACTCTCACTAACGCTTAACTCCTAACTGTTGTTTAACACACAATAAAACGAATTGGATAATAATTTGAAGAATTGTTTTTTCACATAAGTTATGTGCTTAATAGTTTTTACTGTTTCGTGTTTACATTTTTAATTTTGTTGTTGTTATCAATTATTACGCCATGACAGATCTGAATATGACAGTTAAATTTTAGTCTGTAATATCTGTCGATATTTCTGAGATGAGGTATTTAGTCTGTAAGTAAAAAAAAATCTTACAAAAATATAAAAGCTGTTAAATAGCCATATAAATATAATAACATAAATTATAACAGAAACATAAACAGTGAAGATCCCTTTTAGTTTTTTACACTTTCTAAATATAAAAATGATTTCACTTTCATGGATTATGTTTTCCTGTCAATAACACGTTATTTAAAAAAAAAAAAAAAAAAAAAAAAACTTAAATACGTTTATGATTTACGAATTTTTTTTTTTCTTTGGAAGGAAGGGGTCTTTAAATTTTTCTCTTCTACGTGCTTCGTCTACGATTTTCCACAGAAATTTAACAAAAAAATTTCCCATTTCATTTTTAGTGGTCATTAATGATGACATACTCGGAAATAATCAAATCTGAGAAAAATGAAACCCGCCAAAGTAGAGGGGTCCGACTTTATGAAGAGGATTTTTTTTTCTTTTTTGGAGGGGGCCTG